TTGCTCGTCTTTGTACCAAAAATGTGTTCTGTGGTGACTGAGTAATTTGGCCCTGAAGAAGTTTATTCTCTAATTCAGATGTGACAGACGATGGCCCATGGCCCAAATCTGGCAACTCTGTTTTTGTAAATAAAGTTTTGTTGGACCCCAGCCATGAAAATTCAATTATATTGTCTATGTCTGCTTTAAGGACCATAGTGTAGTGGATTATGAGCTCAGCTGCTAACTACAAGGTCAGAAGTTCAAATCTACCAGTTTCTTTAAGGGAGAAAGATGAGGCTTTCTGTTCCCGTAAAGATTTATAGCTTCAAAAGCACTGTACGGGGTATGAGTTGGAACTGACTCAGTGACACTCCACCACCATTACCCTGGCTGCTTTTGTGCTGTAGTGGCAGAGTTGAGGCCTATATCATAGAAATCCTGTGTCTATAAGGTCTTAAATTTTAATAGTATTTGACTCCTTAAGAAAAAGTATACTGATCCCTGCTCTACATGTAAGTGTTTTGTTAAAGTTCTGGTGTAGGTTTGTGTGGTTTAGAATTTTTTAATTTAATTTTTCATTCTGCTTCATTAAAAAAATTACTTAAAAGTAAAGCAATTTTGAGTATTAATTTCTAGTTTTCTCGTCCATAACTAGGGATAATACCAATTTGCAGTGCTGTTATGAGGAGTAAATGAGAAATGAAAATAAAATGCTTAGCAGAGTGCCTGGTGGTACCGTGAAGGAATTCAAGCAGTGGGGAAATAACTGGGGAAGTCTAGGCATTTGTCTTGAGTGAATTAGGATGGTAAATTCTTATAGATGTGGTTTGTCTACGAAGCTGGCTGTAGAGGCCTAGTTTATTCTGGCTTTAAATATAACTTTGCTGATTAATTTGCCTTCCTCATCTTCCTTTTTTTTTTTTTTTTTTCTTCTGCTCTTCCCTCCCTTTTTCCTTCCTTCTTTCTTTCCTTTCATTTTAATACCTTCCATATCTTCCTTTCCTCTGCTTCCCTTTCCTTCCACCATTTTGAATTCTTTTATTCCTGTATTGTTTTAATTCCCTATCTTTATATCATTTTACTTTCTTAAAACTAGAGAGAATTCATTATACTGATCTAGAGTTAATAAACTCTTGTATCAGGGTAGTACAGTTTTGTATTTCCATCTCTTGAGCACCTTAAAACGCTATAACTGATCAGTTTCTTGCATTTACCAACATTATTTCACCATTGGTTCCTTACATTTTATCTTTCTTTCAAGGTTATGCAAACCTTGAAACTGAATTTAGGAGAGTAAGAAGAGAACCTAATATACAGGATTATCAGCTATTGTTAGTCCATTCTTCTTCTTTTTTTTAAAATTTTATTGTGAATTGAGTGATAGTTTACATGGGAGAACATCAGTTTTGCGCTCAACCTATCGTATTATTTTTTTCATTGCAATGTTTACAATTCCTTCCATGCACCATCGTTAACAGTATTTGATGCTATTCTGTTACTCTGTTTTTTTGTTTTGTTAATATACACAAATCCCCACAGGAATATATAATCATTTTAATCAATCAAAGGGCACATTCTGGAAGCCAGCCTCCTGGCCACCAGCACGCAACCTTTCTTTTTCCATGAGTCTAGAGTCCTCAGCTTCTCAAAGGGCACATTCTGGAAACCAGCCACCTGGCCACCAAAATGCAACCTTTCTTTTTCCATGAATCTAGAGTCCTCAGCTTCTCAATTTTCCTTGCCTGTGCCTCCTTCTTTGGTGTTGCTGCTTCTCTGGTTAAGGTCCCATGTTAAGCTCATGTTCTTCTTTCTTGATAGTCCTAAGGTCCTCTGTTCCTGGAATGTAAGATTAACTACTCCCCACCTTTTTTGTTATACATTTTATACCTTTACAGTTGTGACAATTGCAATTAGTCATAACAACAATTGTTGTTGTTAGGTGCCATCGAGTCAGTACCGACTCATAGCGACCTTATGCACAACAGAACGAAACACTGCCTGATCCTGGGCCAGCCTCACTACCGTTGCCATGCTTGAGTCCATCAATGCTGCCTCTTGGCCAATCCATCTAACTAGGAGGTCTTCCTCTTTTTCTCTGACCCTCCACCTTACCAAATGTGATATCCTTTTCCAGCGACTGGTCCCTCCTGACAATATGTCTGAAGTATGAGAGACGAAGTTTGGCTATCTTAGCCTCCAAGGAGCACTCTGGCGGCACTTCTTCTAACATGGATCTATTGGTTCTTTAGGCAGCCCATGGCACTTTCAACACCATAACTCAAAAGCATCAATTCTTCTATGGTCTTCCTTATTCACTGTCAAGCTTTTGCATGCATATGAGGTTATTGAAAATACCATGGCTTGGGTCAGGCGCACCTTAGTCCTCAAGCTGACGTCTTTGCTCTTCAACACTTCAAAAAGGTCTTATACAATATGTTGTCTGATTTCTTGACTGCTGCTTTCATGAGTGTTGATAGTTGATCCAAGAAGAATGAAGTCCTTGACAGCTTCAATCTTTTCTCCATTGATAAGAATGTTGTTTATTGGTCCAGTGGTGAGGATTTTTGTTTTCTTTATATAATAACAATCAGTTACTCACTATTAAATTAAAAGAATCTTAGCCCCATCTCCTTTTACCACACCCATCTAGACAAGATGAAAACAATTCAGTGGAGATTTCTACCTTTCCCTGAACACTCTGAAACTTAGCTCTCTCTTGAAAACTTGTAAACCAGCCACTTTGTGCCTTTATTGCTCTACCCCAGCCCCATTTTAGGTAGCCAATGGCTAAGTTGCCTACCCCTATGTACAGAGGGGATAGGCTTGATCCTTGATGTGAAGACTCCTTACCTCTCAGTTGGTGTTTTGAGCTACCACATCCATAAGTATAGGTCAAGTTCATTAAATTGTATTAATTTACACTTGCTTCCTTTATCAGATTTCTTTATCTAGTCAAGTTCTGATCATCAGGCCATAGAAGCTAGTACTTCAACGAATATCTGCGTTCTTGTGCGTCTCTCCTCACTTCATATCAGCTGGATGCTTCACTCTCAGCTCTAGCCCTCCATGACTAGATCATTACCCATGGACTCAGGGGTTCTTAAGTATCCCCAGACTTCGAACCAAGCAGCCCTTCCACTTCTCTCTCTCATCTCAAGGTTGACAGGAGTCTATGAAACATGGTGGAACTCAGCCCATATCTTCATTGATGCCTTTTCCCCACTTCCACTCACATGTAGACCAATACGGTCATCAGCAAGCATCACTGTTTACTTCTGTCCTATTTAGTCCATGCAAACCTGCCTAAATGTTCCCCTATGGACCTTGTTCTTCCATCCCCCTTTCCCTTCTTGTGCATTGCTCTTCCTTTCCTTGTATATTACCCTCCCCAATACCCGAGCTATGACGTGACTATTCCCTAACCTGTGTTCTGCTATCTGCTCCCTCCCACCTCTGCTAACCAACAAAGAGGTGTGGTTTTTTTTTTTTTTTTTTTTTCCTTTTAGTATGGGTATCTTTTCCTAAACTTTTATAATAATGGTATTTTGCATATTTGTTCTTTTATTAATTCAATTCTTTAAGAAGCAGTTGTTGTTAAATGCTGTTGAGTTGGTTCTGACCCATAGCGACCCTGTAGAGGGTTTCCTGAAAATCCAGAACTGCCACAGGAAATATTAGAACAGATCTCTGTGGTCCAGCTAGCTAACTCAGTTTTGTCTTTAACCATGGTGCTTACTTTTAGGCAGCATGGTCTTCTAAGAGAGGTTTTCTCTTTTAGTGATTGTACTTCAGATAGGTATTGTTAGAAGATTACTTTGAAATCTGGCATGTGACCCCTTATAGTTATCATAAAACCAATACTGATATAAATAAGAGAATAAGGAAAAATGAAATACTTTTTTTTTTGTTAGTTGCTGTCGTTTTGTGATAGTGTTTATTCTTTATAGGTGTCGCAAGATAAGACATGGCAAAGAGGTGAAATTCTAGGATGATAGTCTCAGCTTTAGTAGATCTTTAATAAATAGACACACTAAAGGGTTTTGGCCCCCTCACTTGAGAAAAAAATTAACATGAAGTAATTTTATACTAATTTCTTTTGGTTAAAAAAGAGCTTTATAAAGAAGTGTTTTGTCCGGAAACACGTAGATTATATGGAAGATGAGGGATGGTTTCAGTTTAAGCTGGACTCCTGATGTGATGCTGTTGGATAAGCACTGCACTGCTAGCCACAAAATTGGCAGTTCAAACCTACCAGTTACTTCTTGTAAGCCCTATATAGGGTCTCTGAATTGTAGCAGACTTGACAGCATTTAACAACATCAACAGGAAGAGGTTTATCTAGGATATGATGATGTGTTTTAAGCATTGGCCAGAGAATTACCGAAAGGCACATATTTAATTATTGTTTAATTATGAATTTTCCAGATTACCTTGGGAGTTTAACAGTGACTTGCATGTATTAGGTTGGCTATGTATTGTTTGCCAGTACCCTTGTGACTTCTGTCATTTCCGTCAAATGTCATTGCATCATTTTCTCTATTAGAAATTCTTACTTACTTTATATTATGTCTTTTCCCATGATCAATTTTCAGTTTGTATTCCTTGGTGCATTAGATGGACTTTGTAAAAGTTAATGCTCCAACTGTCTTGGGTTTTGTTTTTCATTCTAAATCATTATTTTTAACAATGTGTATATGTAATTTGTTATAAAAATTATGTTCAGATCAAAGAGGTTTTAGTCTTTTTGATCCTGTATCGGAGATCTGAACTGCAATAAGTAAAGTATATGGGTTGGATTTCTCTATGAATTATCTAGAAGAAATTAGTTAATCCAACAAAAGGTATTTTACCGAAGTAGTTTATTCTCCTCTATCTCACTTTGCTTTGAAAGTTTAGGTTGTGATTTTGCAATGTCTTTCACATTTTCTCTTCTGTGGTCAGATGTACAGTTGCTATATGTTTTCTCTTTGGCAAAGTGTGGGAATAATCTCCAAAAAGTAAATTCTGCTTTTTTACAGTCAAAGGCGGTTGGTTTGTTAGACGTTGATGTGTATGGCCCTTCAATTCCAAAGATGATGAATCTGAAAGGGATTCCAGAATTATCACAGAGTAAGTACAGAAAAGATGGATATTATGGCAATAGTTTTGCTTTTTATGTAGTATGTACCTGATGTCAGGCTTTGTGTCAGGTACCATTAATACGTTATACACAGTGTAATGTCATGATTCAGAAGTCAGAGTCTGCACCCTCTGGACTTGAATCCCAGCTTTGTTACTGATTAGCTGTGTTGCCTTTAGTCCTCCATGTAGGCTGCTGTGAGAAATAACACGTGTAAATGTACTGCATTTCATACAGTGCTTGGTATATAGTAAGTGATCAATGATGTTAGATCATCATCATTGTCTTTTTATATTAAGTGTGTGGATATATGAGAATATTTGAGTAGAAAGTTTACAATATACTCTGTACTACAAAGAGTAAAAATAATTTTCTCTAATCGAATTTGTCTTAAAATGCTTACAGTGAACCTGTGAACATTGCTTTTGAACCACAGTCTCTTTGCTACCACCACTTGTTGTTGTTGTTAAGTGCTGTTGAGTCGGTTCCGACCCATAGCGACCCTGTACAGGGTTTCCGAGGGTGTAAATCTTTACGGGAGTAGAAAGCCTCATCTTTCTCCTGCGGAGCGGCTGGTAGTTTCGAACCGCTGACCTTAAGGTTCGCAGCCTGATTCGTAACCACTACACTACCAGAGCTCCTAGGAAGGAGTTAGTTCTTTGATTAAATTTTTAATATTTACGGCTCTTGACATTTCATTTTCCTACAAAGCTACTGGATATACAGGTTTAAAAACAAGGAAATTCTATGTTAAAAAAATGAAGAATTAGAAAAACTGGTACTTTTACTAGTAAAATAGTTTTCAATGAAATTGGTTTATGAAAATGAATTTCTTATTAAAATAGGAGTTAAAAAGTTGGATAATTTTTTTTTCTTACTGGAATTTTTATTTTCTAGAAGTCTAGAATACAAAAGTCTACTGAAATGTATTTTTTGGATTCCCAATGCATATTATGTTGTTGTTGTTAGGTGCCAGCTCACAGTGAGTATATATAAGGCTTCTGAGCCCTTAAATCTTCACAGTAGTTGAAAACCTCTTATTCTTTTGTTCTGTTCTCATTAAAAGTTAATTAGACATTTTCATGTTTTTATTTTAGTTGCTTATGTTTGGGGTTTAGATGTTTGGTTCTGAATAATTCTTTCAAAGATGATGAAGATTCTCCCTAGTATTTTGAAAGAAGCTGTAAGATCTTAGAAATCTTATATTGCAAGCACCTGCTTAGCTGTTTTTCTGTTTTATGAAAACATAAACTTAAAAAAAGCTAGTCATTCTAAGTCTATTTTTGTTTTTTGTTCTTTTGTGGAATGCATACTTAGTTTACACATATGTGACATGAGCATGGATGTTAAACTTTCCCAAAGAAGGAATAATGAATTTCTGTGCTTTAAATGATAGACTCATTATGTCTTTCTCTTGATTAAAGTAATATGAAAACTCATGTAGTGCACGAATGATGGCAAAATGGAGCCCTTGGTGTCTGTCTTTTTGTAAGTAGTTCAGCTCAGTCTATGCCAATGTAAATACTTGACGTGAACTTTAATTGCTTTCTTCTAGTTTTCCTGATGCTTTAATCTTAAATTTGATGTTTGCAAATTGGCTTTGATTAAATAGACTTTCTTATAAAGATGAGATACTGGAAATCTTGGAAAGCCTTAAAAGAGTACTGTTTTTGTGTGTTGACAAGCTGATATTAAAGTTTTTCAAGAAATACAGTGAATGATGAAGGCATTAGCCTCAAAGAATAATGAAATCTTAAAACCCCAACTTATAAATTATTTTTTTAAATCTTGCAAAATACCTTCCACCATTAGGCTAATTGGCATCATTTTGACATTTCTACATTTTATCATGTTAATTTATTCTGTTGGGCTCTCTATTACAAAAAACACAGTGCGACATAAAATTGCTTAATTAACAATCAATAATTAGCAATAAAGAAACACATCTTTAAAGAATGATTTCTAGCTACTAAGGTTTAGGTGCTACATTAACAAGCTGAGGTCAGTTTTATAGGTGTTCTTAGGCTAAGAAGAACATTTGTTCCTAGACTCTGTTCTTAGTCTAAGACAGACTAAGACAGACTAAGAGTTGGTCTGATTTCAGGATTATTCCTTTTCTTTATTGTTTAAACAAGCATATAATGTTGTTGTTGTTGTTATTGAGTGCCATTGAGTCGATTCAGACCCATAGCGACACTGTATAGGGTTTCCAAGGAGCAGCCAGTAAGCTTGAACCACTGACCTTGCAGTTCAAACGACTTTGCAGTCTGATGCATTAACCCACAGCGCCATAGCATACTAATGTAGTCTAAGTCAGTGTATTCATTTAAAAATTCTATGTTAGGACTGACAGATTTATCTGCGTTTTTTTCATATACGTATGTATTTTTTTATTGTTGGGAGGAGTCTAGAAAAATGACAATTTTGGAAGTTACATAAATTATTAGCCTTGATCATCAAGAAAATTTTATATTTGAGTCTATTGAGGTAAATTTAGTAATTAAAAAATTAAGTTTATAATAGTTTTGGATATAGAAAATTTGAGAATGTTTCAAGTTAAAATGATAATAGTGATTGATCCATGTTATTATGGCAATAAAATTCTAGCCAGTTTGTAGAAAATGTATTATACAAAAATCTTAGTACATTATGAAGCCTGCATGTGGCCAGTTGTTTTGAGAAGTTACTGGAATTTAGAATAACATCCATGTGCATTTTGGGGAACTAGCATCTAAGCGTGAGTGTAATCTTTTTTTAAAGCACATATACTACTACTTTTGCTCCGTTTTAATTTTTGAAATAATATAATACTCAACTTCATATTACGGTGTAGTCAAATTATAGGTCTAGAAATTGAGTAGAAAGGTTTTCCACTGAAATACCGAGTATTCAATGATAGCTGCACACATTGTGGTACTTCATTTCACTAATATAATAGTGTTTTTGTGATCGTATTGAGGGTTTTCACTAATCTTTGTAAAATAACTCTTAGTGGTACATATCTCTTTCACAGTTTTGTGGTCACTAATCACCCTCAAAATGCTTGTGAATTTATTAGTTTCACAAGAGTGTCTTTCAATATACTTAACTAATAAGCTAGGAAGTATATTAAAAGACACTGGTAAAACTAATAAATTCATAATTATTCTGAGGGTGATTGATTAATGATCACAAAACTGTGAAAGAGAGCAGATATTTGGAGTCCTGGTGTGGTGCTGTAGGATAAGCACTAGGTTGCAAGGTCAGTTTGAACCTTGATGTCGGTGGTTCATACCCTCCAGTTGCTCCTTGGAAACCCTATGCAGGGTCACTGTGAGGTGGAACTGACTTGACAGCACTTAACAACAACAACAACAGTAAAGTAAGAAATTCTTAAGGCCTGTGGAGAGAGAGTATTAAAAATTGATATGTCAAGTATTTTATTGAGGATGACACAGTCCTTATAAATGTCTAAATAGGTAGAATTTATTTACCTCTTTTCTCTTGTTGTAGAATTGTAAGTTTGTGCTCACTTTACCATATTCTGTCTTTGGGTATGAAGCGTTCTTTAAGTTTAGGAGTGGTTATGTATATGGGCTTAGAAACAGAGTTGTCTGGAAAATCAGCCTGGGAAAACAACCTTTTTATTTTATTATTTATGACTCCAGTAAGAACTACAAGCAATGGGTAAAGATTTCTTAAAGGTAATCCAAGTGTGTAAAGAATGAAATAGAACTCTAGTTATTCCTGAAGTCACCATGTTGGTTCCTTCTCAGAAAGAGAGGGATAGTGCTGAAGTTGTTATGGATGGTTAAGTTCTGGTCCAATGGATATGACTCCTAAAGCTTCTGATTTGTAGTTTCTTCTGGTCATTGTCTTATGGATCCCTGGATGTTCATCTGATGTTAGAATTCCTCTGATTACCTTTGGAAAAGGTTATAGGATGTAGTCCATAGTTACAATGCTACAAGAATGACTTTTTATTGATACTTTCTTGGGTTCTATTTAGAACATCATTATACTGAGAATATGAAGACAGGGTGGTATTCTTTACATAATTAGGGATTGAAGGAAGCTTAAAAGTTTTTGTCTTGGTTTACTCTGGCTTTATGTACTATTTCCCCTGAAAATAGCTCAGAGATGAGATCTATGTTCTTTGAAGGGTTCTCTTATTCTGGTTTATCAAAACAAAGTCTGTTTTGAATCTTGGCTTTCCTTGCATTTTATTATAAAATAGATACTGGAGGGGGAGAGAAAGGAATAGTCAGAAATATCACCATAGAAAGCCTATAAGTCTGTCTTCTGCCTGTAACGGATTGGAATACCTAAAATGGGGCTACAACATGCCCAGTGAAGGAGGCTTCCTGTGGAGCCTCTGAATTACAGAAGACTATAGGTGGAAGCTTGAACCACAGCCATATCTTCAGAGATGGGAAATTTCTATTTGAAAGGACGAGCAGACCAGTCTGGAGTGGCTAGAAGAACAGAAGATACTTCATGAAAGAAAGACCTACAGGAAAAATACAAAACAATAGAGGCAGACCAACTGTTACTACAAGAACAAGCAAGTTGCTTGCCCAGGAGACATCAAGGCAAGTGGTCGGGTCCCCTCAGTGGAAACCCCCTTCCAAGACTAAGACTCAGTAGGAATACATATCTGATTGGTGACCACGCTCATCAAGGATAAGGGGAAGTGAGGGAAAACAGCAATGAAGTGGCAAGCTAACCCCTACAATGTTCAATAGATTCTTGTGAACCCTGGTAGAGACCTGGTTGGCCAGCAGTGTGGCAAGCCACAGAGGACTAGAGTGGAAAGTGAAGTGTCCAGCTGATAAGAAGAGAGAACATATGCACAAGAACACCCACACTTGCAGATAATACCCACTTGACCTGGCTTCAATGACTGCATGATCAGAGCTCAACCAGAAGGAGATAGAAGAGAAAAAAAAAAAGTAATCTGATACAGTTTGATGAACTTGACCTACACCTATGGATGCAGTAGCTCAAAAGA